TATCTTTGACATACGAAAAAATGTTGATGTTTCAAATAGCACAGAGTGAGGTCCCGTGATACCCAGGGAAGGTCAGACAGATGATCAGATAGCTTACCAGGGCAGCATTCATCCTTGCAATTGAGTGCTCAATAAATATCCGTTGTATATATAGTAGACTGTTGCCTCTCCCAAATTTCCTTTATTGGATCCTTTTGCAGCTGTGCATGCTGGCTGACTGCTAAATGAGATATGTATACAAAACACCGCTCTCTTGCCTCAAGGTGGAATCAACTCTATGATATAATCCATGTCCAAAGGCTCTCCATAGGATCAGCCTGAAGCTTGACTCCAGATAAGACCACCTCCTGGCTTAGCTCCCTTCCCTGTTCTGTCCTGCTTCCTTCATTGCCTTTCTCCAGAAAGCACTCTCATAAAAAATTATGTACTCAAATCCTGTTTCAGTCTCTGCTTCTAAGGAAACTGACTTAAGACAATGCATGAGTAAAAGCCAAAAAATTGTAAAACCATTCATGTCCTTGACCTGGAGACAAGGCAAAGATATAGAAAATGATGACATGAAATCAGAGAGAGCAAAGGGCCACATGAACAGAGAAAAGGCCTTTGTTGAGTAAAAAAAAAAAAAAAAAGAGCAGAGGTAACTTCAAACCATCCTAGTGGATACAAACCTCCCTGGCCATGCAGTTGGAGCAGTTCTAGGAATTTTTGCCATTGACATTAAAATTTCCAGGTGGTAGTGGCCACTTGAAAGGACAAGTGGAGAAAAAGATGGTGTGGGATTTCAGGTAGAACAGTCACAGAGCATTGGTGATAAGGTGTGAGGAGTCCAACAGACATGCTTCTGGAGCTGCAATGATGCTTTTCGTGAGGAAGAACCAGACGATAATATCAGAACTTGCTGTGTGTTATATATGGATGACTCATTGTACATTATATATGTATATATAATTATACAGCTGTTCTTTTTTTTAAGATTTTATTTTATTTACTTATTTTTTTTAAAGATTTACTTTATTTATTTGACAGAGACGAAGCAGGAGAGGAAACACAAGCGGGGGAGTGGGAGAGGGAGAAGCAGGCTCCCTGCTGAGCCAGGAGCCCGATGCGGGGCTCTATCCCAGGACCCCGGGATCATGACCTGAGCCGAAGGCAGATGCCTAACAACTGAGCCACCCAGGAGCCCCAAGATTTTATTTTTAAGTAACCTCTCCATCCAACATGGGGCTCCAACTTACAACCTCGAGATTAAGAGTTGCATATTCTGGGGCGCCTGGATGGCTCAGTTGGTTAAGCGTCTGCCTTCGGCTCAGGTCATGATCCCAGGGTCCTGGGATAGAGCCCCGCATCGGGCTCCCTGCTCATTGGGGAGCCTGCTTCTCCCTCTCTCTCTGCTGCTCCCCCTGCTTGTGCTCTATCCCTCTCGCTCTCAAATAAATAATAAAATCTTAAAAAAGAAAAAAAAGAGTTGCATATTCTACTGACTAAGCCAGCCAGGTGCCCCTATACAGCCATTCTTAATTCTTTTTTTTTTTTTTAAAGATTTATTTATTTATTTGAGAGAGAGAGAGAATGAGAGAGAGAGAGTACATGGGGGGGGAGGGTCAGAGGGAGAAGCAGGCTCCTTTGCTGAGCAGGGAGCCTGATGTGGGACTCGATCCCGGGACTCTGGGATCATGACCTGAGCCGAAGGCAGTCGCTTAACCAACTGAGCCACCCAGGCGCCCCATTCTTAATTCTTAATCAAGTCTACCTCACAAGACTTATTGTCTTTGGAGGAAGCAAGATACAGAGTATTTTGGTAATCTATTGTGGTCCCAAAACAAACCATCTCCAAACTTAGTGGCTTAAAGAAGCATACTTTTTATGTTGCTCATATATCTGCAGTTTGGGGTGGGTTCAGCAGAGATGATGCCCCTCTGCTTCATCAGTGTCTGGGGCCTTAACCAGGAAGACCTGAGTGGCTGGGGTCTAGAATGGCTGGGGCTGGCTTCCTTGTCCCAGAGTGGCTGGGCTTCCTTTATGGCAGCTGGATTTCCTTAGAGCAAGTTCCGAAGGCACTCAAAAAGAAGTGGCAAAACTTCTTGGATCTAAACTCAGAAGTTCCAGTGTATCACTTCCATCACAGTCTATTGGTTCAGCAAACACTAAGACCAGCCTATATTGAAGGAGTGGGGTAAATTAGTCCCCATCTCTCCATGGAAGGAGTGCAAAACAATTTACAGACTTATATACATATATTTTTCTTTAAGAGAGGGAGAGAGAGGGGGTGGGGAGGAGGAGAGGGAGAGAGGAAGAGAGAGAATCTTAAGCAGGCTCCATGCCCAGCACAGAGCCCGATGCAGGGTTCCATCTCACAACCCTGAGATCATGACCTGAGCCAAAATCAAGAGTCAGACACTTAACTGACTGTGCTACCCACGTGCCCCAAAAGGTGCATTCGGTGCCTGAACAGGGACTCGAATCAGCCATCTTTAATCCACTATGCAGAAGTATAAAGTGCAGGGGACTCTTTGACAACAACATTAAAGGAGAAAGAAGATAGCAATATTTCCCTTCATAGGTCAAGGTAAGATTTTGTTTGTTTTTTAAGGCAAGATAATTTGAGCAAAACATGGCTAAGGAAAGAGAACCAGATAAGGGAGTAGATTAAAGAAGAGAGAAAACATCTGCGGCAGCAAGGTTCTAAGGCAGCCATATTGCTGCTCTGTGGATGCAAACTGTTTTCTGTTAACCCTGAGTGTTGGTAAAATTATGCGAAACTTCACAGTCTGGGTTCAGTTTTGCTGTGGGGAATGAAGGAAAAGGTTGGTTCCACTTCTGGCCTAGAGGAGTAGGGGGAGCAGTGCCTCCTGAAGCCAGGCCACGGCTTCATGTAAGCCACCTCCATCTGACAGGGTCCTTGCCAGACGGTAGGGCCATGTCTTCCATTTCCCTACCTCATCCTATACAGCCCTTGTAGAACACTGTAGCCAAAACCACCTGCAAACCAGAATGCCAGTGGTAGGGCCTAGGCCAAACAATACATTTCACAAAGGAATAGGAAGGATGTGTGGGTGGAGAGCTGGGGGTGAGGCTGGGGTGCTGCTAAGCTTCACCAGTCTTTTTTTTTTTTTTTTAAAGATTTTATTTATTTATTTGAGAGAGAGAGAATGAGAGAGAGAGAGCATGAGAGGGGGGAGGGTCAGAGGGAGAAGCAGACTCCCTGCGGAGCAGGGAGCCCGATGCGGGACTCGATCCCGGGACTCCAGGATCATGACCTGAGCCGAAGGCAGTCGCTTAACCAACTGAGCCACCCAGGGGCCCTAAGCTTTACCAGTCTTGAAGTGACTGCACAGTAAGGTAGGTCTGGACATGAGTGTGGGGGTATATCCTAGAATCAGAATTCTGTGTTCTAAGGTAAAGCTGAAAGTCTCCACAGGTATATGGAGGGGATTTCTTTGTTTCCCAGGGACTGCAGGGTGCTCAAACTCTGAGGTAACTGCCACAGGAATATTCCTCACCACACAAGGCTTGTGTCAGACAATGTTCTGGTTATCTATTGCTGAATAACAAACCTCTTGAAAACTTAGAGGCTTAAACCAGCAGCCAATTTATCATTTCTCAGGATTTTGGAAAAGGCACAGTAGGAAAGCCTTACCTCTGTTTTAGGTAATGAGGAACAGCTCAGATAGCTGGGACGACCTCGATGGCTTCTCCCCTCAATGACTGGTCCCTCAGCTGGAATAGGTTCATCAGGTTCATGTGCCCGGGACCTCAGTTCTTGGTGATAACTGGGGCCTTACTTTTCCTCCAAGTAGTCTCAGGGTCTTTCCCTCTCCATGTGGTCTCTGTGTGCCATCTTTCTACGGCAAGGTGGAAGAAGGGGAGCAGCTCAGGATTATCAAGAGCTCGAAATCAAGGTTACCAGGTATTCTCAAAGCTCATCTCTGAAATTGGCAGTCACTTCTGCCACATTCTTCCATTGGTTAAATCGAATCACAGGTCCAGTCCAGGTTCCAGGGTCGATGACCACATAAGGTTATACCGTGAGGAGGCACGTTTCAGTGGGGCCACCAAAGTAACACTACCTGACAAGAACGTGTCTAGGAGCAGATGTGTGTGGGCTGAGGGTGCTCCAATTCCTAATTTTATGCTGGCTTCTCTTCAGAGATGTTTGAGAACAAATAGTGGGGAGTAAGGTAACCCCAAACCTCCTCTACATTATTAAAGGTGGGGGATCTGGTCGGCCACTGGATCAGCCTGAATCAAGAAAGGCCGGGATGGGGCGCCTGGGTGGCTCAGATGGTTAAGCGTCTGCCTTCGGCTCAGGTCATGATCCCAGGGTTCTGGAATCAAGTCCCGCATCGGGCTCCCTGCTAGGCGGGGAGCCTGCTTCTCCCTCTGCCTCTGCCCCCCCCCCACTCTCATGAATAAATAAATAAAACATTAAAAAAAAAAAAAAAGAAAGGCCGGGCTGTGTGTGTCTTTCTATTAGGCATTTATTGCGTATAGCTTAGGCGCTGGGTTCTTAACACACGTGTTACTTCGTTATCCCTCCTTTACAGAGGAGAAAGCGGAGGCTGGAACACAGCACTCTTTTCTACAGTACCGCACACCACGGTACACACCACGACGAATCTCCTAGGCCCTTTCTACCCCGCAGGTAGAGTCGGAGCAGAGCGGTGATGCCGGGGTCTCCGGGAGGGCAGTGCTCAACACGGCCGGCTTGCCCAGCGGAGCGGACGGCTCCCAGGCAGCCAACCGGAAGGGGATGCTAACCTGTCACCGCCGGGCCGCGGAACGAGCAAAAAACTGGAGCGCTAAGGCGCCTTGAACCCGAGGCAGGCGGGGTCTCACCAACCTGCAGACCCAGGGCCAGACACCCGCCTCCTGGGCCGCGCGTGCGGGGCGAGAGCCAGCCCGCGCCGCGCCCCGCCCACGCACGCACGCGTCGCCCCGCCTGCCGCGCCGCTCTGGCCCCGCCCTCAGGATTGACCGCCCGAGCCACCGTCCGCACAGCCCCGCCCCGCACGGCCAGGCAAAGCAGAGCCGGCCGTGCGGTGTGTGTGTATGTGTTCGCGGGGCGCCGTCTCAGCCCCGGGAAGATGGTGGTGGCGGCGGCGGCGGCCACTCAGGCGAGGCTGAGGAGGAGGACGGCGGCGACGACAACGCCTGCCGACAGGAACGGCGGACAGCGCCGGGACTGGGACGCGACCGGGGCTGGGAGGCCGGGGCTGGGGGCCGGGCTGCGCCTCCCGCGGCGGCGGCTGCTACCGCTGCTGCTGCTGCTTGCGCCGCCGCTGCTGCTGCCCTGGGCGGCCGAGGCCGCGGCGGCGGCGGCGGCGGTGTCGGGCTCAGCCGCAGCCGAGGCCAAGGAATGTGACCGACCCTGTGTCAACGGCGGCCGCTGCAACCCTGGCACCGGCCAGTGCGTCTGCCCCGCTGGCTGGGTGGGCGAGCAATGCCAGCACTGCGGGGGCCGCTTCAGGTGAGTGGGGGGTGATGTTGGAGGGTCGGGCCCAGAGGGAGGCTGAGGCTCTGGGCAGGCAGCACGAGATGGTTCCAGGCCGGAGGCAGATGCCGGACAGAAAGTGGGGAGGATAGGGCCGCCCCACGGTGTTTGAGGACCATTTGCTTCCGAGGAGATCATCGTCTCTGGCCTAGGGTCTTCTTGAACTGAAAGATGAAAGGATTCGAGGCAAGGGTGGAGGCACCCCAGAGAGGTTTGGGTGCGGCGGGTACAGGAGAAGAAAGCTCGGGGTCCCAAAGAGTATTAAAGCCAGTCCCTGAAACTGGGCCTCTTTTGGATAAACGAGGTGTACAAGAAAAGACGAGCTAGTCTTACTTAAACACTTCCTTTTAACATCCCCTTGTTCCCTAGGGCCTGATGAGTTCCCGGACTCGTTGGAGATGTAGGGTACTCCGAAGAAACAGGGCCCTGGAAGTGATTTGTTGGCTGAAGATAGAAGGGAAAGGTTAGATTAGGATTGTGAGATACCAGAGATAGAAGAATCAGTGGTTGTTGGCTAGAGGAAAGTGAGGAAACTAGCCTTTTGAAGCTCACCAGAGGCGGCTGATTGGAACAGGGTGGAGAGGGCATAGAAGGAGGTTCCTGTTTGCCCTGATTTCTGGAGAATATGGAGTTCTGAGTTGGCCTGGTTTGGGACAGTATCTCCTGGAGAAATCATTAATTCATTAATTAATAGTCATCTGTTATTTGCTTCAGTTGTGGAAGGATTTCTGGGTAATACACATGAACAAGTAGATTAGCCAGACTTTGGCCTAGTCCACGTGGACTAGGTAAAGATAGGTACCCAAATGACCCTAGTCATAAGGACTACAGAGTCATTCATGCCTTTGACAGATTTTACTAAACCTTTTTTTTTAAAGATTTTATTTATTTATTTGAGAGAGAGAGAATGAGAGAGAGAGAGAGCACATGAGAGGGGGGAGGGTCAGAGGGCGAAGCGGACTTCCTGCCGAGCAGGGAGCCCGATGCGGGACTCGATCCAGGGACTCCAGGACCTGAGCCGAAGGCAGTCGCTTAACCAACTGAGCCACCCAGGCGCCCTTTACTAAACATTTTTGATGTTAGCTGTGGAGGAGTGGGGAAGTACTGAGACCCAGGCAGCCTGGGTCCCTCCTCTCAGGGATCTTACAGTCTAGGGGGGAGGGGGGAGATAGGCAGTTAATAAGTAAATAAGCAAATAAATAAAGGAATAAATGAACAAGAAAATTTCAGATAACAGTGCTGTCAAGAAAATAAAACAGGACGGCCTGATAGAGAATTATAACCAGTGAGTAACTTTAGGAGAAACCTTTCATTTGAAGTGACATTTGATCTGACCTGAATGGGGCACAATGGAGAACCTGTGGGAATTCAGGGAGGGAGGTTGTGACTAGCTGGGGGAATGCAAGGAAGACTTCAAGGAGAAAGTGACATTGGATTTGAGCGTTTGAAGCAAGTAGGATTTGGAACTGTGTAGCTGGGAAAAAAAATTACAGTGGGAGGAAAATTGTAAACAAAATTGTGGATACCAGAAAGTAAAGTTTTGCTGGTACAAGGGTATATGGAAGAGAAGAGAATTGTGAGAGGGAGGTTTGGAATGGTAGAATTTAGACTCAGTGTCAGTTCTTCAGGTGTTTTGCTGGTACAAGGGTATATGGAAGAGAAGAGAATTGTGAGAGGGAGGTTTGGAATGGTAGAATTTAGACTCAGTGTCAGTTCTTCAGGGGAACTCAGAGAACATTGAGGAGCTGAGCACTTACTGTATTGTTATGGAGAAACCAAGTGATTTCATGATCAGTGTGTAGTGCGTCTTGGGTTGTAACTTACTTAGGGTGTTCTGGTTTATGAATTACATTAGCCTACACATATTTATTGAGGGCTGCCCTGGGGTAAATTGTAAGATACAAGTGGCAAACAAGACCGACACAGTCCTGCTCTTGGGGAGCTTACATGCTAGCTTGGGAATAAGAAATTTAATAATCAACTTATTAGTATTTTGCTTGAGGCTATGGAGGCAAAGGAGAGGGCAAGCAGAGGACTTCACTTAGTTTGGAATGTTAAGGCTAGTGGCTCAGTGACTTTTGAGTTGAGATCTGAGAAGTAGGATAGCACTACCTACATGAGGGGTGGGGTGCTAAGGGCTCAGCATGTACAGAGGCTTGGGGATGAGGGGCATCATGGCAAGTTGAAGAGAAGGCCAGATAGCTGAAGCAGAGAGCAAATGGGAGCACGGCAAAACTGGAGGTAGGCAGGGGCCAGGCTATGTGAAGGCCTGTAGGGTTGGGTTGAGAATTTTGACCTTTAGCTCTTGAGCAGTGGAATGGCACAGTTAATTCACATTTTCATGACATTACAGGCTTTTAGATGGGAGCCAGAGCAGGAATGGCCTTGAAGGTAATAAGGCCAGAGTAGTTTGAATTTGAGGCGCTTCTAAAAGCGAGTGAATGGACCGTTGTGTCAGATGAGAACCCTTTAAGTTCTGAGAATCTGGAATGCCATGGAAGGCAGTGGGGGGCCCACAGGGTGTGGAGGAACATGCATAGCAAGATCAGTCTGTCTGTACTGGTCAGAGCGGGTGGACTCATTGTAAGCATGAGAGGTGGTGGGCAACTGGGTCAGGATGGCAGTAATGAGAACCTAGGATAGGTTGTGGGAATGGAGGCAGGGTGGGTGCTAGGTGGTATTGCAGAGGTAAAAGACAGGTCTTGCTTTGAAACTGGTTTGTTCTTGGGAAGGGAGGGGGATGGTGAGGGAAAGAAAACTAAATCCTATCTTGGGTGACTGAGAGGATAGTAATACCTTACCGGACACAGGGACACAGGAGGAGCAGTTTACACGCTGAGGTTAGGTGCTCTCAGGGTATCCACTTGGCAGGACAGGTGTAAGTGTTGCAGTCGTCCGGGTATAGAGGGACACAGCCGGGGAGAAAGAGCAGGTCTCTCTCTCATCCAGAGGATCGGAGAAGAGCCACTTGTTATGGGGAATAAGCAGTCCTGACACTGGTTGTCTCAGATGGTGTCACGCATGAGTGAAGGGGCTCCCCTGGTTGTCGTGGATGCTCCAGTGGAGCAGGTTCAAGCTGGTGGCAGTGCTCTTTCCTGGGCAAACAGTTAGGACTTTGGTCCTGATAATTTCAGTATATTTTGTGCGCTTCTGGAATTTGCACTTTTAAAAATGAAAGTAAGAGGAACTTAATGTCTCTGGCCTTTTAAAAAAAACTTTCATTAAATTGTTAGTGGAAGGATTATTTTAGGGGAAGACTGAAATGTTGGTTTTGATTATAGTGGTACGTATCTTGATTTAACTCACAGACCTCTTTGTTATTAAACGAAGAGACATTCAAATGAATACCTTTCTGGTATGGAATGGCATCAAGGCAGTGTGTTTTTAAATCTTTTTAGTTCCATAAATCCTGTGTTATAATTGTTGTTAGAAGGTCTTTTCTAGTAATTGAAAGGAGTGTAGGATAATAAGAGGATTAGATCTCCCCAGAGTTATCACCGAATGCATAGTATATGTCAGGGATCTGGTCAAACATTTTCATATACATCATGTCATTTAATTTTCTGGAGAACTCTGAGGGTGTTCTATAAAATTTATATTAGTGTATGGTTGCAGTTAGAAAATCACTTAATTTTTTTCCAAATGAAAGATACTACAGAAATGATTATTACAGAGGAGAATATTATTGATGTCAGTTTAGTAAAAGTAACTATGGAATCTTTGGTGGACAATTTCTTTTCTTTTTTTTTTTAAAGATTCCATTTATTTATTTGAGAGAGAGAGGGAGAGGGAGAAGCGGACTCCGGTGCTGAGCAGAGAGCCCGATGTGGGACTTGATCCCAGGACCCCGGGATCATGACCTGAGCCAAAGGCAGATGCTTAACTGACTGAGCCACCCAGGCGCCCTGGTGGACAATTTCTAAAGCAGTGCCAGTTTCATTCATTTTTATGTTACTGTTCATAATTCAGTGATCATTCTTTTCTACTTGTGACATCACCATGGAGGTTTTTCTTCAGATGATAAATACATCCCATCAAATTAGAAATAAAGATATTAAGTCCACTTATGAAATTAATATGCATTTAATTCTTCTACATTCCTGCTATCATCAGAAGTTTGGGGAGGATAGACTAGAGTAGCCTAGTGAATGGGAGCCTTATAAGTACGCAGGATGTTAAGAACGTACCTTCTCTAGAATAAGGAAAGGAGTAGGCATTTATTAAGCATCTGTTTTGTTCCTGGCATATGGAATAATGGTGGTAGTAGTAGCCCCAACACTAGCTGCCACCAGCATTTCTCCGTTTTTTCCTAGGTGTTGTGTCAAGTGCCTTTTAGAAATTACTCCTTTTAATCCTTAGAGTGAAGTTATTCCCATTTCACAGGTGGGTGAATTAAAGCTTGGAGATACTGAGTAACTTGCACCATCTCATACAACCTGTGAAAAACTGGACTGGGATTTGAATTCAGGCCTTGTTAATTCCCACTCTCTTGCTTTCCAGTGTACCATTTGGCTTCTCATTTTCTCTTGAGTCCAGTCACAATTTATGAACATTCTTTGGAAGGGCTGCCTAGTGCCATTGAGAAACAGATTAAGAAACAAAGGAGGAAAAATAGATTTATTACAACACTAAAGCCAGCATTAAAAAAAAAAGAAAAACAAAACAAAACCTTAACTCACTCAAACCTGTTTGGCTACCGGCAAGGACATAAATACCTATAACTAGTGAAATGAAAATTCTGGAGAATAAAATTTGAAAAAAGAAAAGTAAAAAAAAAAAGTTGGAGAGGTTTTATAGTAGTATTAACCTAAAGCCCTAAATTTATGTTCATGAATCAAATTGTCTGTTTTCTGCAGTAGAATATAAGCTCCCCGAGGGCAGGGATTTCTATCAGTTTTGCTTGTTCTATTCCCAGAGCCTAGAACAGTGCCTAGGGCATGGTGTGCAATAAATATTTGTTGGAGGAAAGAATGAAA